CGGGGCCGGAGAGCCTGGGGTTGAGCCACTTTGTCCTGATGACTTTCAGCCACTCGAACTCTGCTGTCGGCCTCGTGCTTCTCGGGTCCCCCTTTTGGCGCCAGCGACCTGTGTGGAGAAATCTGATACAACTCCCTCAAGCCTACGCTCAGCTGTTTTGACCCACTTGGAGCCTCTTGGTGGGGTGTCTTGAAACAACAGCCGTCTGTGAACAGGTTTTCCAAATTAATTGTAGACCTCCTATCTGCCAGTGCAGCTTCAGAATCTTAATACTTGGATTGTGCCAACTAAATAAGAACCTCAACATCTTTAGGTAAACTAAATAACATATTTCAATAGCTCTGAATTTCTGACAAGCATCCGTGTTTATTTTTAAATGAAATCCTATTTAAAATCCAAATATAATATGAACTGCTAATGTTTCTGGTAAAGAAACACACTAATGTTATGGATTCAAAAACAACCAAAATCACGATGCTAACAAAGTGAATGATTTCCTGGTGATACTGCTTCTACCTGTCAGTGCTTAGATATTATCACGCTGAAAAAATGAATACAGAATTCCAACAAACTGTCATCAAATGTCTTTCTATTATAAATTTAGATGAAATGTATATCCCCATAATGACCTAAACAATAAAGTCTATGGCTTTTACTCCTTTACCAGGCTAGTTACATGATGTTGTCTAAATTAAATTCTGTCTCATTACATTACTATGTTTTAGCTTAACTTAACTGTAATATGTTCTTTCTACATTTCAAACCTCAGTTACTCTAATGTCTGTTAAAATATTACAAAACTGTTTAACTATCACAGGTCAACTTCTTCGGTTTCACAGTAGCCCCTTGGCCACTGCTTCTGCATTACCTGTTATAATTCAAATCAATATTTAGAAACATCTCAACATTCATCAAACAGTATCTTATCCCCAGATATGGAGCAGGTTAATTACATTCAATGCTCAGTTTGAACATCTGGGTTGGGGCGGAAGGTTTCTGTCAATCCTTAAAAGAAAAATTTAAATTGTGAATTTTACAGCCATGTTGACATTTATACATTATACTCACTCCCCCCTTTTACACATGAAATCATGTGTAACAAAAGCCTGTAATGGGAGGGGAACAAAAACTGTCAGGTAATTGGTTAGGGACATAACGAACATTATTTTCAATTTGACATCATTATCATTATTTCCACAGTGAACACTTCAGTGAAAAGAAGTGTTCCTCTCCGTCCTTCAGGCCTAAAAGAAACAGAATCTTCAGCTTTTAGTTTTACATTTGCAAACCGCCAACTCATGTGAGAGTAAAATATCACATGTGCGGTTTCCCCTTTTTGTGGGATTTTTAGGAAACCTCTCGTTTCCCTTGGAGCTCCAAAATAATATGTTAGTCCAAAAACATGCTTGGTTAGTTATTGTTTTAGAATCATGCAGTTACACTGATCACATGCTGGCATTCATTCACACTCACACTGTCTGGTTGTCATGTCAAGTTTGGTCAGGTCCACCCCAGAGTCAGTCATCCACAGTGCCTTGTCAAGTTACACTGTCGGTCAGGGTCAAAGGTCAGTTGGTCTCCGTCTTTTTTGGCCATGTGTCGTGCTCTGCAGAGACTTTGACATTTCAGCATAGGCCAGTATCCTTTGTCTACAAAAATATGTCACGATTTCAACTATAATTTTCAAGATGATTCTCACTTGTCATTGGGACTTCTGCCTCCCACTTTTCCTGAAACTTGGTACAAAACTCACTTCCTTCGAGTACCACTACTACTGCAATCCAATTACACCTAATTAGTATTAAAATGTCTAATGATCTATTTCAGAAACTTGTGTACATAACTATTATCTTGAGTCAAAACATTACTAGGATCTGTGTCGCTCTGCATTTCATAGCTCATTATAATTCTGGTCTACTTAAAAAACGATGTTAAACTCTTTAGCAGTGTGTGGAACCTTGGGTGTCCGAACATGCCACAATTACTCCCTCCTTTATCAAGGATTTAAAACCGAAGTCTGGTAATAACTATGCCACAATGGTGAAATCAACACTTTAGATTGGAATTTAATATGTGGCTTGGCACTAGCCATTAATACAAACAAAGATTTGTCCTATAGAGTGGTTCCTAAAACTATCCTTTTAATGGTGATCAATATTGTAACCAATGAGATCACTACTTTATTCACACGTGAATAAAAATGTCTTAAAGAATGATTTGTTAACATGATGAAAATATTGAAGAATATGGTTCTACTCTGTCAGTGTGTTTTAGGATGATTATCATTTCACTTTAATAGTTTCCTCTTTACTGCTATTTTTAATTTACCAAATGATTAATAAATCTTTCTGTCTTTACGTATTTATGAAGTTAATTCAAGTTATTTAAATGTGCGTTTCGTGAATAAGTGTGTTTATGTGTAACTCACTCATTCCCGTTCTCCTTTCCTCCTCCCCTGGTTTTCTCAAGCCGTGACCCCGGCCTCCTCACTTCTAATCGACCATGCCAACTCCTCTGATTCTGTCTTCTCTTCAGTCCATCAGCTGTTGAATCCATCCACTGTAACTTTTGTAGGCAGCCATTGGCCCAGTCACATCTGCAGCCCCATCATGCCACTGTTGTTGCACTCCTCCTTTACAGTCTCTCTGCTGTTTTTATGGAGGGCGGATTCTGCTCTCATGTCTATTGTGCCAAATCTCGCGGCGCAGTTTGGAACTTCATGTCCTGTTTGAGGGACCGATGAGAGTTTGCCTCTTTGTCAGCATGCTGGTTTGGTTCTGGATGCCTCAGGTCGTTGTTGGTTCAGCTCTGGTTCTCTGTCTGTACGATGGAGAAGGAGGAGTCTCCTGTTGGGTTAGGTCTCGTTGTCTGCTTGGAGGGTCGGGATCAAAGCCTTTCTAACTCAGAGGGGGAGTCCAGGTCCCGGTACACATTACCTATAAGAACTCTAGCCCACTGATGTTAAATAAATCCAACCCTTTCCACTCTGTCTCTTTCTAATCATACTATCTGTCTTAGTTGTTAAATGCCATGTAATTACAAAAACTCACTCCAAAAATTGTTTCATCCATTGTTACATATTTACCCAACACAACTCCGAAATACTTACATGTTTCCAGCATCACATATTCCACACACTATGAAAGAACATCTCCATATCTTCTCTCATTTTAAATCCCACTGTTACTTCGAACAATAGTAAACCTGCAGGGCACACCAATCGGATCACAGTAATGAAATTTGAATCAAGTGTAGGCCTATGTCTTCTTTCTGAACATTTATTTATATGGTCTAAATTTGCAAACAGTTCGAGTGTAAAATGTGTTTTGCACAATGTATTTACACTCTACAGATTCTTGAGTTTACTCATCTCTTGGTGCTGTCGTTGTAAAAAATGTTCAATCCCTTATTGTTTTGTTTATATACTGGGAACGTGCTTCCCGTCTTCAATACCGGCCAGCAATGTAATGATTAAACTCTAAGCTCGCAGAAGTTTCAAGGGTGTGATAACCCCTTTCAGCCACTAGATGGCAGCAGCAGAAGTTTCAAGGGTGTGATACCCCCTTTCAGCCACTAGATGGCAGCAGCAGAAGTTTCCAGACAAAGGGAAACGTTCTCCCTCGATTTAATATATAACAGACCTCTGGCTTTAAGCTTTTAGCATTGGTCTGTTATTTAAACCCCAGTTTTAAACGGCGACTCGATCTGATATATCGAGTTTCCAGGTTTTGTCGTGCAGGAATCAAACCTCGCATTCAAACAAACTGCACCATCTCCACGCCACTCAGGAATAATCTACCTGCAGATCCGCGCCAAACTGCTCTATTTTACGTCACGCAGGACTTTCGTCTACCTGTCGATCAACGTTTACGTTTTGTATATAACTTTCCTAACATAGTAAAATATGCATTGTATATTCCATTTAAACTATAAAAACATTGTGAAACGCCTACAGACAATCCTAAAGTTTTAGCGTATCCAATTACAGACAGGCGACTTTCATCGTCTGCTTACCTTATTTGCAAAGTTGCAGAGTCCTGCTGATTGTCTGAGATGTTTGAAAGCGTCTGAATTCTTCCTCAGCTTCGTTATATCTAGACGTCGGGTCACCATTTTGTTGGAGATTTAAAGGGATAGCTGATCCGCTTTTCAAATCTCCGCGCGTTCCTATGAAGCTGTTTATAATACAGGAAGGAATCCATATCTACAAAGTAACCGTTAACAATAATCTACTTTAATGGCAATATGACAATGCAATACAATCATTACAATACAACATGATATATTACAGTTATATTGTAATGCTTAAGGAGTAATGCCGGCTTACTCCTGCACTGGTTCGCATACTGCAGAGCTACTTTCACCCGAGGGCAGCATGTGAAGAAGAGCCCGAACGCCAGGGATCCACCGGATATATACCAGAGTAAGAAGGAGGGGTTTGGTGTTAGGTCAGCTGGTCATCTTTTCAGGTCATCTCATTGGGAGACGCAACGCTGGCCAGCAGGAAACCAAACAGGCTCACCTTACAACCAAAAGTCTCAAGGCCTGCATACCTACACCTCCCCCACAGAGCAATAAAACCCTGTTTACTCCAACCAGCCCAGAATGTTTATAGCCATTTGTAGTCCTTACATTTATGAAAGGATAAAACAGAGAAATCAATATAAAACACAAACACAGGTATTGTTTGAACAGTATTCACTTAACTGCTACTGTTGATAACCACCAGAGAAACCCAAGGGACCTCTCTTAACATCACAACCACTGTAGCTCGTTCTAAGTTGAATGCAAATCAGGACATGCTCTCACCTTCCCCCATCTTCCTTTGTCCTCAAAAACACATGTCAACAGGCCCCAAATGCAGCTCACAGTTTTACCCAAATTATTTTCATTTTAAGCTTATCCATAGTTTGCTAACATGAATAAATACAAATATAACTCTACAGTACTTAAGTACTTTGTATTTAATAGTAGCAGTTTATATGAACAAGAAGCTGGAGACATGAGGAGTGAAAACTAAATATCCTTATATAGACATATGCTATAGACAGCAGAGGGTAGAATGTGTGTGCGTTGCAGTATAATAACTGCTCAATTATACTGGTGTTTGCATTCTATTGACTTCTCTGTTTGATTCTTTCATGTTGTGAGTACTAAATTGCCACAACATTGTGAAGAAGTAGGCTTAAATGTGCTTAAATTACTCTATGTGAAATAAGATGCAGTTGTGCAGGACAGGAGACTAGATGGGGGAGGGGAGCAGAGAGGGAAGTCTGAAGAATGTGTGTGTGTGAAAGCTGCAGAAATACCAGATGTGCGGTATGTGCGCGCTGATACGCTACGAAAGCCCATCGTTTATATATGGGCCAATAGATTACCTGTATGGGGGTAGCATCCATACAGCTCCTCCCTTGTTTTTACAATATCTCCTGTTGAGTCCTTGTGTCCGGTCTCTTTCCTCCTGCCGTCAAGACGATGAGGTTCTCCCGGCATTTGGACCAGAGCAGGGGGTGGGCCTACCCCTTTGAGAAGTGTAATGTATTCTTACCTTTTATCATTAAAACAGATTATTGTTTAACCCTGTATCTGGTGCTTTGAATTCCTTCCTTTATGATTTTACAAGATGCTCACCAAACGAACACGCGGAGCCGAGGTGGGTTTTAAAACCACTCTGACTCCAACACTTTTTAATTTTTAATTTTGTAGCACTTTGAGTTTTGTTTACGCAAATGAAAAGTGCGCTTATAAATAAAATATATTATTATTATTATTAAGTATGTCTGAATGGTGGATGTCCGGCACTTACGGATGGAATGAGCGTGAGTAATGAAATTGCAGACGGATATGACGTCCAGAGTGGGGAATGGTAGCTGGTATGCGCCGTGATATGCCTTAAAGCAATTCCAGCCGGTGAGATAGGCTGACAAGGTGCTTGGGGCAAGGCTGTTGAGGATGGCTTCCCGTGAAGCGTGTGAGAGTAGTTCCAGTTGTGGGTTTAGTTGAAGGTGGTGGCTGAAAACGGTGGGACTGGTATGGGATGGAGATCCGCCTCTGGGGCCAAGTATCTGAATTTCTGAAATTGGAAACGAGACAAAGAGTCAGCGATGCCATTCTCATGACCTGGGATGTGTGCTGCTTTGAGGATGAACTGGTGTTGGGCAGAGATTAAGGTGAGTCTGCGGAGGAACTGCATGATGGCTAGGGAGCGAGATCGGCCTTTGTTAAGGATCTCTACGACTGCGCTGTTATCGGTGTGGATGAGTATAGCTTTCCTAGACCATTCATGCCCCCAAAGAATGGCAGCTATGATGATGGGATATAGTTCGTGAAGTGCGGATGAAGGAGAAAGCGTCTGTGAATTGAGAGCTGTGAACTCTGGGGGACAGGTGGATGAGAACCATCTCCCTGCATAGTAGCCGCCGAAGCCTATGGAGGGGGCTGCGTCAGTGAAGAGTTGGATATCCTCGGGTTTGGTAATGAAGTCATCATAAAAGAAAGATGCCGTTCCACGAGGACAAGAAATCCTGCCAAAGGTGCATTTCCATTTTGCATGTGTCGTCGAGAACTAGTCGATAGTTGATGGAGGGAACTGACGCCGCTCTTTTCAGCAGGTTGGACAAGAAGGGTTTTGCTTGAGGTATTATGCGGATGGCGTAATTTAGGTGGCTGAGGAGGGCTAACAGCTGCCGTTTCGTGAGGAGAGTGATGTGCTGTACTTTTTCTGAGTGTAGAGAAGCCTGGAAAGACATTGAGTCCAGGGTGATGCCTAGAAACTCAATAGAGGTTTTAGGCCCTGAGGTTTTCTCTTCAGACAGAGGGATGCCAAGGTCTGAACATTTTTGTATGAGTGTGCTCAGCCCGTGGCAGGAGGGTGAGGATGGTGGAGTGACGATGAGAAAGTCGTCAAGAAGATGGAGCACATAGGGGAGTCTGTGGTTGTTTGTCAAGATCCAGCACAGAGCTTCTGAAAGGGAATCAAAGATTTTGGGACTGCTTCTGCAGCCGAATATGAGGCGTACTGAGAAGTAATAGGCTCCCTTCCAGTACACTCCGAAGAAACGCCAGAAGTCTGGGTGAATAGGCAAGATCTTGAATGCACTGGTGATGTCTGCCTTAGAGAGCCATGCTCCGCAGCCTGCTGAGCGGATGAGGGTGATGGCGTGGTCGATGTTTGCGTATTGCATCGAAAAGTCTGGGCTTGGAATGACGCTGTTAATGCTCGGGATGGCTGAGCCGTGTGGAGAAGACAGGTCTATTATGAGCCTCTTTTTCCCGGAGTATTTCCTAGTAGCTATGCCTATTGGACTGATGCGGAACACTGGAAAGGGGGGACTATCGAATGGGCCTATCATGAATCCTTCTTTGACTTCTTTGGCCAGTAAGGTGTCGACGGTGTGAGGTTCTGTTAAAGCGGACTGAAGGTTGTGGCAGATGTGAGATGTGTCAGGAAGTATTGCTATGCCTGGGTGGAAACCATGGGAGAAGCCATTGGTGAGAAACTAAACAAACTGTCTATCTGGATGATTTACTAAGGCGGTAGCCAAGTTGCTTACCTTGACGGGTGTGCTGAGGTGCTGTGCTGGTCAATCTGCTGGTGTAGTTGGGGTGTGAGGGCAGGTGCTGCTGGCTTGAGCACCACCGCAGAAAGAGCAGATGTGCATGAGGCGGCAGCTAGAAAGAGTCCGTGAAGGAGGACGGAGGCCTGTGACGTCACGACCCGTGGTGCGCGCGCGTCGCGCGGTGGTTGGCACTGGAGCAGGAAGAGCTGTGTGTCTCGTTGTTCTTGCCGTTGTGCTGCTGTAGGCTTTGTAGAGGTTGAACAGTCTAGCCTTGTTGTCATTTCGATTAAAGTGGATGCCGTTTTCTTTCGGGAAATGTTGGAGTTGAATGACTGTCCACCTCCTGAGTTCGAGCGCCGTTTCGGATCGCGGCTCCGTCCCACAGTCGTGTCGAGTGCGCCGCTGCAAGTGGCCGGGGGCTGCGAATGAGGCAGGCTGCCGGTGGTGGAGAGATTGCCGCTGGCTGTGCCTGTTGTGGCCCCGGTTGTTTGCCCTCACTGGCGGAGTAGACGAAGCCTGGGACCTGTCTGGAGTTGGAGGTATCTCGTTCGGGGGAGCTTGAGTGAGAGCGGTGGCGGCTGGTGTGTGGGACACTGATTGCCGAGCGCACGCGGCTCCGTTCGGATGCTTGGCTTAGATCCGATTGCTGAACCGCGGATGGCGGGTAGCCGATGTCGAAGAGGTCTTCATCTGACTCCGGCGAGTTGATCAGCAGTTCGGGATCCATGGTGAGTTGAATGGTCTCGTGGTAGCGTTTATCTTGTTTGAATCGTGACGGCGCGCGGCGTGAATCACGGTCTGCCTGTCAGTCTTTGAAAGGATGGAGACAAGCAGTGGCCGGAAGTTTTGCCGGATATAAATAGGGGTGGCCATGGTTCGAGGCAGAGTTTTAGGCGTGGCCATGCTCCTATGTTAACAATGTAACCTCATAAGTAGTGACTGCAGCAAGACACGTCAAGGACACAATGGGGTTCTGGACAGGTCGAAGGCAGTTCCAGGTGCTGCTTAAATCTGAGCCAGAGGGTGTTGGCGGCCTCAAGCACCCGCCTGCCTCTTTTAATCTTGAAGGAGATCGAGGGTACCTCTTTTACCCGCGTCAGCCAGCTTCCTGCCGGCGGTGCAGGCAATCAGGCCACACGGAGGGAGGGTGCACTGGCACCAGCTGCCGGTTTTGTGGCCAAGGGGGTCATGAAGCTAAAAACTGCACTGTGCCCAAGGCCTGCCATGGCTGTGGTGGGACCGATCACCTCTACCGTAGCTGTCCTGGGCGTAGGAGGACGTTTGCAGAAGTAGCCGGGGCCAACAACCAGAGGGAAACTGCGCTCGAGGACCTCCTGGAGGGGATTTTTCAGGACCAGCGGGCTGCTATGCTTCCAGTGGAGACCGCGACAGTGGAGTAGGGGCCAGGTGGCGGCCCGGGGACTGACAGCGTGGGCCAAGGCCTCGCGGAAAATAAAGACTCACCTGTAGAAGGCGAAGTGGGTGTCAAGCCTGGGGCACGAAAAGGATCGCAGGCTTTCGGAACAGAGGTTTCAGCAGACAATGGGGACTGCACACAGGTTGGAGACAGCAAAAGGCCAAAGACCGAGGGGATGAGGAGGAAGGGGCGGGCCAAAGAGGTGGTGGCGGTGGTGGGTAAAGTAGATGGGCAGCAGAAGAGGGAGGGACTGGTGAAAGACAGCAACCAGGAGAAGGGACTGAGTCCCCCCCCCCACTTTCTTCCTCTTTCCCCCGCCTGGACCAGAACCGGCACCCCCTGTCCCCAACCCCCCTGCCGAGAAGGCAGACACGACCCCCGAGTCGGTTCAGAGACTTTGTGTGGTAGATAAAGTTAGTAGTGAGACCCCTCGGTTCCTGTAGAGGGCAAGAATGTGCCCTGGTCTCACTGGAAGTGATGGTAGTCCACCCAGACCTTCCTAGTTCAACTAAGAAATGTGTTACACGTTCTCGCTGCTGTGGGTTTGTGTTTAGTTGCAGGTTTTGTTCTAGGTTTTATTTGTTCCTCATGGGCGAGTAACTTTGTAGTAGGGGGGTAGTGTAGCGACCCTGTATAGGGTGCTGGGTGTGTCACTCAAGCATCCCCCGTCTCTCTGCCAATCACAGAGCTGCACAGTAACGCTGGTCGGTGTGCGGGCCTGTGGTTGGGGGAGCAGAGGGGGAGGGCTGGGGAGTTGTGACGTTGACCCTGCTTTTGGGAGTGGAGTACTGAGTGATGTTGAACCTGCGATCTGTAACCTGTGTAACCTATATCTGTATGCGATCAAAGGAGTTATTAAACCAAATAACTTGAAGCCTGTTTCCGACTCCTATTGTCGAACGTTACAATAGTTTCATGTCTGCTTACCTTAAGCAACGTAAAATGTGACAGCTGTGTACAACCCGGGAGCAACAGACGTAGATTAGCGGGCTAGCATCGCAGAGCAGCCAGCACTGCTTAGCATGTTAGCCTCAGCTAGCTCAGGAGCTTCCAGCTCGGTGGTAGCAGGTCCCGCCTCTTTGCCCTTATTTGGATTCAGCTGGAGCAGGCCGGAGTTAGACGATGACGTCACTGTCGAGATGGCAGTGGCCCGACCTCGCCTTCTTCGGGCTTCACAGCAACTCTGCAGATACCTAGTGAGTGACGTCACGGACACTACGTCCATTTATACAGTCTATGCTCCTAATTAGTAATAGGATTGCAAACTGTCACAATTAGAGTGAAATTATCCTCTAGTATTTACCTATATCCCATGTGTGTGAACAGCAGATTATTTTGTCTACAGTCAGTATTACAAGAAACTATTTTCAAGAACTTTTGGCTTTGCAGGAAAGGCCCAGGTGTGATTCATTACATCGTTAATGTTGTTAATTACACCTTAGCTTTTCCTGCTCTCGTCTGTCTAAATGTCCACTGTAGTAGATGTCATATTTATACTCCAGGATAGAGACATTCATAAGTACTTCAGGGCCGATGGTATGGACGCAGATTTAGTCTTTTTTGTGCAGTTCATTTTATTTTTAGGGAAATGTCACATCCATAAAAATAAATGGGCTGACTCCAAACCAAATTTGGAATATTTCTATCAAGAACTTAAACAATACATTAGCACTATTAAAAACATTAGGAATAATAAGGTATTTAAAAAATATTTAATTTGAAGTATCAACATGTATTTGTCTTTCCTTTTTTTTCTTTATGTCGTGTTTTGTGGCTTTGCATGTTTGCCCCTGGACTTTAATAAATGTATGTAATGTATGATGTTCATGTATGATATTGAATAGATGAATAATAATTTAAAAAAAGGGAAAATATTTCAAAATAAAAAAGAAACTATTAACACAAAAACAAACAATAAAACATATTTATACCCCCGAAGGCTCTGTATCTTTTGTGAAACTGTTTCCCTCTGGTTATAGAGAGCATGAATCATTACATTTATATGAATTATCCTCGGCACAGCTAAAAATACATTTGAAGGAAAAGTCCAGAAAGTCCGCCCTCCATCACGTTCGAGAAAGTGTAATCTACTCATGCAGTATTCAAACCTGAGACTCACACAGTCTGATCCAAACACTGTAGCTTTACTTTGAGTCTATCGTAAAAGTGCATTTGTACAGCTGTTACACACGGGCAAACATATTTCATATTAACTCGTGTCACATAGTGAATAAAATAAAAACAATGCTTCAGTAATAGCAGCTTGATTTTCAGACATTTCACTAAGAAAGTTGTAGATTCATGTGAAAAGTTAACGTGCCCGCTAAAATAAGAGCACTTATTGAGTTTCTGTGTACAATTAGCCTTATCTATTTACATAAATACATGGACACAAAGCGTAAACATGAGAACCAGAAACTCATCTCAGTCCTTCTTCCCTTTTCCCGTCACAACACACGCAGGTCCCGCTGCTGCACGGAGTTAATGGACGCTCCCTGGCTGTGTGGGGGGTCGGTGGGGCTTTGGCTCAATGGCTCCCGGGCTGTAGGGGGGAGCGAGGGGCTGCGCCGCGGGCCGTCCAGACCCAGATGTGTGCTGATCTGAGATGAGCGCAGGCTCCTCATCTGGCCCAGCGCTCGCACCTCATAGAGCTCCGCCGACGTCTTCTTGTACCTGCAGGAAACAGATTCATATATTCACCTCTGATCCCAGGTCAGATACAAAATTATGAAAAAGATGGAATCAATTCTTATGAAGAGAGGCCTTAGCAAACTAAATTCATTGGATTTCTCAGGGAAGGAATCAAAAGGTAATATGCATATATTGCAGTTGAATGAAATATGTCTTAATTTATACTGTAAAAAGAAAGGAGGAAATCATGTGTACTAATTGGATTTGGGCTACTTGACCTCAAAGTATGGATTTACTTACAGGCATACATTTGGGGATGTCTATAAAAGTCTACTATAATAAGCAAACAGGGACTCCCAACAGTATACAGAACTAATCACAGATTTTTCTAAACACACACTAAAGGACTGTAAAAAATAAATGTGAAAGGCGAGGTCAAAAAGCCTTTTCTACTTTAGGATAAAACAACAACAAAAAGTAAACTCAGCTAACATTATTGAGAAAAAAACAACAACAAATAAAAAAACAAGAAGTACATTTACTAATGTAATAAAAACATAAAAAACATGAAACTCAATACAAGTACAAATAAAGAAAATATAGTAAATTATACCAACAAACAACACCATCCATTCATCATAAATGGACTCACATTCTCAGCAGTAAAGAAGACAGTACCACAGAAACTGAGGAGGCGGCCATCGCTGCAGAACCCATCCACGGCTGCAGCACCAGACCCAGAGGCATGAACACTCCTGCACCCACACCAGAGGACAATTCATATAGTGAGAGAAAACACAGGTAACGCTCACCAAGAAGCGCTCAAAGCTTTATTTATTGTGTGTGGATTTAGAATCTGATCTTGCCTTTAACGCCACAAGGTGCCAGTATAAACGAAATGTCAATCCATTTTCTCTCATTCTCAGTTTCTCTTGACGTTTGTCCAACATAACTGTCTTCTTATGCTTCTTGGGTCATTTGGTAACCAATTCACCAGTAACAACGTAACCTCATCTACTCA